TAGAACCCCAGAGCCATCCAATCGATCGGTACCACCTCTCTCACATAAGCAGCCCCTCAACGTACACCACAGCCAAAAACACCTCAACCAACATATCCTACCCTATCTCTCATCTCAACGATTACCCATTAATTCCTCTTGACCATCAAAACCAACAATCAAATAATCATGAACTCTGCCGACGGACAAGATCCTCGTAATCGACACGATACCGCTGTCGAAGACGAAGACAACCAGGTTAAGAAGCCTCCTCTACCCCTCCTCCAAGCATGACTCTCGAGGCTGCTACCGACCGGGCGCTAACCGATTTTTGGCTTCTTTTGGGCACTGGCACACAAAAAAAACAGGAACTAGAGTCTATGAAACAGAGGGTCAGAGAGATGGAATTCGAAGCGGAAAAACTTAGAGAGATGCAAGCTCAGGTGGAGAAGGAGATGAACGAATCTGGTCAGGGTGGCCACCCCGCTCCAGTGGGCGGCATGGAGGAAAATAAAGAGGTGGTTGATAGTCGTAGTGTCTATGTTGGAAACGTACGTCCCGCGTCGCAATTTCAACCTACGGACGTGCACTCTCATCCGTCTAACCGAATTCTCCCTCCCCTCTTCTTTCATGGCCTTAGGTCGATTACGGAAGCACTGCAGAGGAGATTCAGGCTCATTTTGCCTCTTGTGGAACGATAAACCGTATCACCATTCTATGTGACAAGTTTACCGGTCAACCTAAAGGGTCAATTCACTCAGCCCTGTTTCGTTTTTTTTTTGACCCTACCCGACGCGTTGCTGAGTAGTTTTTTTTGGTACCTCGCAGATTTGCTTATATCGAATTCGCAGATCCAATGCTCGTCCCTCAAGCCTGCCTTCTGAACGATTCATTGTTCCGTGGCAGGCAGATCAAGGTCAGTTTGCATGAAAACCAAACGCTTCCTCTCGTTTCTGAACTCCTCCAACCCTCACACGCATTGATCCTTTTCAACAGGTGACACCTAAACGGACAAACGTACCTGGCTTATCACGTGGCAGAGGCAGGGGACGGGGACGAGGCAGAGGATTTACCCCTTACTTCCGACCGCGTGGTATCAGGTAAGAGACCTGCAAATTTATTTCTGACCAACATCCTTAACCTTCCAAGGTCAAAAACCAATAGCTCTCGCACTGATTCTATTTGCATTGAAAAATAAACCTTGCAGAGGACGTGGGATGTACCGAGGCTTCTAAACGGTCTGGCCTCTGCCTTTGTCCTCCATGCCGGTGATTAATTTTCACGACAACCGGTCGGATTCTTTCTTGAGGCCATCACTCAATCAATCAACGTGCGATGGGCCCAGGAGGCAGCGATCACCTCAAGCTTCTCTACTTGGACCCAATTATTGGACCCCCAAGCTTAATCAATCTCTCCTTCCATCAAGCTTAGACTATCTCGCTACTACCATTCCTCTATCTGTCTTGTGAGCATTCATTGCCCTCCAAAAAGGCCCAGCCTTTTATCCCCCACCCCTGGCTGAAAGAACCGCCTCTGCTTCTAGTGTGAAATTTGTCACTCCTAAATCTCTCTCTCTCTCTCTCTCATCTCTCATCTCTTGGCTCTTCTTTATCTTTTTCTCTTTCCCCTTATTATTTTTGGTAGTCAAAAAAAAGTTCTCTTCAATATCAGTGAAAGAAAATTGAGCATGTTGCCACCATCAACAAACACAAAACAAAAGATGCAAAAAAGAGAAACAGAAAAAAATATGATGTGGCTGGTTTTTAACAAAAAAGGACATTTACACATACCAGGTGGAAAAGAGCAGGGACAAAACAAAAGGATAATTTTGAATTTTGCTTGATTTTATTTATCTTAATACATTCTTTTCTTGATGTTTGAAAATTAAAACAGAAGTATCTTTCTCCAAGCAAGAACCCAAAGAGGAGGAGAGAAAACACAGCATCAAAGAGTAAGTGGAGATGGGGTAATTATAAGCCAGCTAAATAGATAGATAACAGAAAAGGTAAGATCCTGTCACTGTGTGCTTGATCAACAAGATGAGGCTGGATTGAAGTGGCCCTGTTCAATGATCTGCTGGCCATTGCCCATGCATAGCTGCACAGCTGTTTGGCTCCAGGAAGCTACAATATCATATCAGATGTTCAACAACATCAGCAAATGTTAATACAGCAAGCCAAGACTGTTCAAAGAGAGAGGAAAATTGTGGCAGCAGTGGGTGTTGAGGGGACCCAGGGTGACTGAAACTGAGAGAGCGGTCAAGACTCACAGTGGGACATGACAAGTGAGAAATCAGATAATGTATTCAATGAGGAGAGGAGGGTCTGATGAGTGAGAGACCAGTAACAATGTAGAGATGGTGTGCTTGGTAGAAGCATATTCTATTTACAAGCATACAATGACTAGACATACGGGACTCATATGCCATCAGTGGGCCACTACACTGCTGGCATAGCAACATTCTCTTGCACCTAAAATGTATCATGGCACTACATCAGGGCCAAAAATGCTGCCAACCACTGACCAGTGCTGTAGCAAAGTGTAGTGGGTACATTTTTGGGTCCTGTGTGTAGTATTTGCACAGATTTGAATTCTGGGGAATTCCGCTATGCTGCACCGGCGCACCTCAATCATGGCATTCAACTGTCGCCATTGATGGGATCATCATCAGCTACAATGAGTGGGTTGATAGCTGTGAGCAACATTAGAGAAAATGAGGGTTGGTTGGATTTGTATATAAGAATTGTGAACATATATACTTTAAAAAAAATCAATGGGCTCAGAACTTGCATACCAGTTTTAAATCGTGAGATTCTATTTGAATCTGTTGATGAGAACCATGTTAGATTGGTCACTTGAGCTGATTCTTGAAAAAATCAAATCAAGACAACTGATTGATCTGATGATAAAATATCTGGAATCAGGTTTCCAAGCAACCAAGTAAGAGCTCTTTCAGAGTTGTTTGTGACCTGGTTCATCATCACAAGCTGGTGCTTATTTTTTTGTTTCCCTTCCTAATTCCATGTCAGTCCAATCAAAAGCCACTAGACCAGGAGACTGATACATCAGCTATCTTAGCAACCTGATCTGCACAGTTGGATGTGAGTGGACCAGAGATAGCTTGGTTCACAATTGGATGTGTGTCTGCCCACCTTGCTTAACAGTTGCGCTGCCACTTAAAATCAAGGACAATTAAAATCAAAGTGATCCAGGAAACCAATCTACACACAAACTTGAAAGTTTCTATCAGCCACAGATTTTGATGTGGGGTAAAAGATCATTTTAAATAGACATTTTGATTGATTCTGGTGGTTCAGTTGCTTGAAGCTGTGCTGGCAGCTTCAAACTCTACTCTTACCTAGTAGGACTGTTAAATATCAAATACAGATAATATTTGTGGTGTATTGTTTTATATCTTGACTCTTAAAAGCACCTCTCTGAACCCCCACAATCATGCAACATAAACACCAACCACTTCTGGCTACCAACTGTGTAAAGCCCTCATGACCACTTGTGCCTCTGATCCAATACCCATTGCACCCTTCTTCTGCCTCTTGGTGCCCTTTGTCAGCTACTATGTAGCCCTTCACACCTCTTCCCTGGGACTATGACCCTTGGTGGTCTTGCACCATTCAATCCCTGTCTGGCCAATCTCTGAGTCTTTCCCAGCTGCATCTCGGCTGGTTCTCACTCCCCATCATCCCCAAACCCTGTCATCATGCTTAGCCAAGCTTTCTTCCTCAGCCATGTGTTCCATGTATCAGCATGCACCGCTGCACACACACCATGTCACTTCACAACTACCCTGCCTGAAAATTATATGTGTTGGGTGAGACTGGGGGTGGGTCAGGGAGCCAAACCTTCAAGATGAGCACATTTTGTAAGTTTCTAGGCAGCTGTGTAGAATCCAAATCTCTAGCCCCATCAAAATTGGTCCAGCCAATGTACACCATCATAGTTTTTTTTTCTCTTTCTCAATTTTATTTGTTTGTTTTTGAGCAACCATGAAGAGGTCACATGTGCATGAAGAGCCGGATGATTATGGCCTGAGACAGCCAGGAAGGATGAGGCATGGAGTATTAAACAGTGAAGTCTCTGCAACCTGCAACACTCTCCAAGCCAGCTTTATAACCTCCTCTTCATCCGCAAGCCCACTCCCCAAGACATCCATCAAACCAAGTACAAGTACACCCATACATCTGATCCCGGCAGTGCAGACACATGTATAATTGACAATATTATGTATTCTGGAACATTGGCTCCAACCATCCAGAGACTCCCTTAATTAAACCTGTACAGCAACATTGCCATAGTAACATCACCTCGTATCACCACAATGATCAATCTGACTGGTTTTTTTTTTTCTTTTTTGTCTGCAAGTATGGTGAGATGGTAGTGAGTTGGAAATGCAGTGATAAGATGTGTCAAGTTTCTTGTTGAATTCAGACCTGTCATGATTTTGTTCTGTTTTTTTTTTTTTGCTTACTCATCTTCAATTTTTTTCAATTTTTTTTGTTTTCTCATTGAATAAAAAAAGTAAAAAATCAAAGCCATACTGTGGCTGTGTAAGACAAAACAAAACAAAACAATCAAAAAAAAAAGAAAGAAAGTTGAGAAGATTATGATAAATGTATATTGAGAGATTGTATGTAACTAAGTAATCACATATTCATCCTTTTCTCTTTTTTTTTCTGTATCTTTGAAGATACCTCTTGATCACCATGAAACAAAAAAAGGACAATGTGAAAGAGAGAAAAGAAAGATTGATTTGAAGATGACCAAGCAAAAAGAGAATAGGATTCAAATAAGACCATCTCTCCTCCACCTCCCCCCTCTTTTTTTCCTTTTCTTTTTTTGTTTCTTTCTCTCTCTCTCTCTCCCACATCCAGTACACCCACACACACAAAAAAAGAGAAGAAAAACAAAAATGAAAAGGTAAATGATCAAAGAAAAGAATCAAGTCAAAGATATAAAGAATGAAAAGCAGTGATTTTAGTTTTGAATCAGAGTGAGAGTGAGATTCATGAGGGAGGATTAGAAGGATTTGGGTTTGCAGGATTAGAAGCATTGGGAGTATTATTATTATAACCAAACATCTGACCACCCTGTTGTTGTTGTTGCTGTTGGTGATTATTATTATTAGCGGTACTATTATTACCTTGAGGAGCGCCCGGTCCAGGTCCAGAACTCGAGCCAGGAGGTGCCGCAGAAGATCCAGTGGCGCCGAGGGTTGCGGTGGCAGCAGTAGAAGTGGAGGTCGAGCTATTAGGTGGCGGCGGATGCGCTTGTTGGTTATTATTAGAAGGATGTCCGGATGCCCCAGCGCCACCGCCCGAGTTACCCCTTCCTCGGCCTCCTCCTCCTCCTCCTCCACCCATATGGTTGCCTCCACCACCGCCCCCAGAGGTAGGCGAGGGGCCATTGGAATGGTGTCCTCCATGCCCGTGGTGCGCGTGCCCACTACTGTGACTGTTATTATGGTGGTGGTGTCCTCCTCCTCCTCCGCCGTGGTGGCCATGTCCGTGTCCGTGAGATCCTCCATGACCATGTGGCCCATGTCCCCCTCCTCCCCCCACATTGTCTCCAGAGGGTGGGTACATTTGTGGTGGAGGGTACATTCCGCCTGGAGGGCCATCTAGAGAGAGAGAGAGAAAAAAAAGGAAAGATCATCAATTCAGAGCTCCAATCAATATTGTGGCCAGCCAAAGTATAACGTGAAAAACAAAAGATCACTCACGCCCAGGCATACCGCCCATTTGTGGACTGCCATTATAATGAACCGGCGGGCCGCCATTCGCAGGCCCATTACCGGGTCCACCAGCCGAGTTATGAGTCGGGGGATGCATGGATCCAGGGGGGTAACCCTGAATCTGCGGGACGAAGGGTGCACCGGCGGGGTTTCCGGGAACAGCAACGACAGGAGGGCCTGGTGGATAACCTGGGCCGGGGCCAGGCATGTTAACGGGAACGGGAGGCCCATAGCCGAGGTTGGCCGCGGCAGGTCCGGTACTACCGTGGGATTGACGATAGGAGCCATTATAGGAGATTGGCGATTGTTGTTGCGGATGGTGTTGAGGGTGGTACATGTACGGTGGGATCGGGGGCGGGAGATGGTGAGGATGGGGTTGTTGTTGCTGGTTCATCGCGGGGCCATTGTGGCCCATGTACCCTCCTGGTCCGCCTGAACCTGGTGGCCCGCCTCCGCCTCCACCCATCATCATCCCCGGCCCGTTGACGATGTGTGGACTGCCACCGGCGACCATGTGTCCACCACCTCCACCATTCATCGGCCCAGACATTCCATCATCATCTGGCATCATTTGAGGTACAACGTTCGGGGGTTGCTGGGGATGGTGCGAGTAGTGTGGCTGCTGTGAATGTTGCATGTGCATCGGCGGTGTCATCATGTGTCCAACCTGAGAGTGAGGCGGATGTCCGAGGCCATGATTGCCGTGCGGCTGAGGGTGTTGTTGATGAACGTGATGGTGCATGGGTTGCTGCTGCTGCTGCTGTTGTTGCTGTTGCTGTTGTTGCTGGTGATGCTGATGATGGGACATCGGATGGTGCATCGAATGTGGCATGAAATGGGCATGATGATGTGGTGGTGGAAGACTGGCCCCAAAGATTTGTCGATATGATTTCCCGGTGAAGCTCCAGGCAGGACCAACCGAAGAAGCTTCCGGGACACTACTGCTTTTGAATGGAGTAAACTCTTCCTTGACATGGATCGACGAGGAGCCTTTCTTGATGGGCGCATGTCCAAAGAATGGATTAGGAGGAACAGTTGACCCGTTTTCACCTGATTTTTTTCCGGGCGTGGTGGTGGTAGTGCTGGGACTAGCAGGAGCCTTAGTCTTGGTACCTGGTACCTGAATAAAGAGAGAGCAAAAATGATTAGAAACTGATGGATGGGGTGAAAAGTTGATTGACTAACCGGGCTGAAAGTCTTGGCAGCAGGATTGAAAGCAGCTGCTTTGATAGCTGCCTTGGGATCTTTGGAATCATTCGGAGTGCCTTTCGGTTTGAAAGGAGGAATAGGAGGAAGATTAGCGAACCGACTGGCCAGCTTACTCTGCTGGGTGACGGGCTTGCTCTAGTTCTTTTTTTCGGTCGAGGACGTGGACGAAGGGTTATTTGCGCTTGTTCCGAGGCTTGAAGGGAGGGATTGGGGCTAGAGACCCAGTTTTTTAGGCCAATGGCGATCGAAGGATTGGTTGTTGGCTTGGCGTTGGTATTGGCCATCAGTCGTCCACCTTGGTTGGAAATGTTGGTGACGATATGAAGGTTTGAAGGGTTGAGAGGTTTACTCATATGACGAGCATGATTTTTGTCTGCCAGGGCGGCGGTGGTAGCAGAGGCTCGACGGCCAGCCTCATCCTGCGCTGCTAGTTGTTTGGTCGGATCTTGCTTGGCAGGAGCAGGAGCAGGAGGGGTTTGAGTAGTAGTGGATGGAGCGGGCTTCTTGATGATCGGCTCGAGATCCTTGGGGAAGGCCATTGGTAATTTGAATGAAGTACTAAACGCTCGTAGATCGGCTAGTCTAGACTCTTTCTCTTTCTTTAATAGATCTTTCTTCTTCTGTTGGAGTCGCTCCTTCTCATCCGATACAAATGCCTTGAATCTCGGTGCGACTTCTTCGGGTTGCTTTCCAAGTTTGGAGGGCATACGTCCGATCGGCTTTCCGGCCGAAGGATTGCTCGGTAGATTGACGGCAACATGTGCTGAGAGCGGCTTAGGGGGAGCCTGTACATGTGAAATTTTAGAGGTGAGTGATTCTTTGGGGATATTTGAGGATTTGGAGGCAGCGATGGCGGAGGAGGGTTTAGCTTCAGATGGTGGGGTTGGTTCAGGCATCGATGCGGTGATCTTCATACTCTGTGGATTTTGGAGTGAGGTGCCTTGCTTTGAGTTGGCGGCACCGGAAGGTGGTTGAAGAGTGCCTCGATTGGCTGCAGCGCCCTTCCGAGCTCCTGGTGGTACGTATGCTCCCTCACTTCGAATGACAGCGCCATATCTGCAAGATAAAAATGATAAAGAGTTTAGAATCTTAAAGCGCGAGGGGGGAAATTCTTTGATTGAAAGAAAGAAAAAGGGATGGTTATTTACTTGTCTTCTTCATCCATACCACTATCATCCACCACTGGACCGCCTCTCTCCTCTTGAACGTGGGGATTAGCTGAACTGGAAGCCATGATTTCTCTAGCAAGTGCTTCGGCCTTTCTCTCTCTCTCCTTGAAATCTTTACCCGAACGATCGAGTTTGGTGGTATAGATCTCCTCATCGAAGTCGGTGCGAGTTCCGAAGAGTTTCTCGTTAGCCTCGAATTGATCCCATGGTTTATCGAATGTCCTTCGGCTGTTAGAGGATGGGTTGAGTTCGGTGCCTTTGGGGAACAGGGAGTCTTCGAGTCCGTTCATCAGTTCATTTTCGCTCAGAGTTCCAGTGGATTGTTGGTTGGTGGTTGATGATGAGCCAGTAGTGACTTGTAGGTCGGTTGGGCTGGGTACCCAGGTCTTGAGTTCTTTCTCTCTGATGATCGGTTGGCCGTTTGAGTCTAATTTGTAGGCCAACGTTTCAGCATCTGTCTTGAATCCACCGAGGCTATTAGCCTTGGTCGTCGTACCAGCACCGACCGAGCCGAGTTGGTTGAGATCGATATCCTCAGCGACGACTTGGACGAGTTCCTTGGCGAAGATGATTAGGGTAGACTTGACGATCGGTGGTGATCGAGGCTGAGTAGGGTTAGAGGTGGAGGTAGAAGGGATTGGAAGTTCGACGGCCCGTTTGAGAGTGATACATAGTTCGGTATCGGTCAGTGCCGAGGAGAGGAAACCTTGAAACCTTTGGCCAGATTTGGTTGTAGCAGTGACGGTGACGCCCTGATGATGAGATGGAAATGATTGATTTTGGTTGAGTGAGTGAGTGGATGGCTATGTAGATGGGATGATGATGATGAGTGATAGAGTGACCTACGACTAGACTCATGATAAACCAGACCATGCGATCATGCATGGCTTTGAGTACTAGTTTTTCTTCATTGGCAGCAGCAGCAGGATGAAAGTGTGGTGGTGGTTGCTGTTGCTGTTGTTGGTTTGGGTTGAATGAGGATGAGGCTGATGAGGTTGATGATGAGGTTGGTGGTTGTGTTGGTGGTGGTGGTTGTCCGTTGATGAAGTGAGGTGGGATGGATGAGTTAGTTGAGGCTGGACTGCTGTTCCTCCAGGCATGGCTATTATTATTATTATTAGTCCAGGCCCTTAGGTTTTTCTTGATGGGCTGAGTTCCGTTTGGGTTGAGATGGCTTGGGTTGTTCTTGTTAAGGTGTTGTGGGTGTGGATGAGGGTGATGGTTATTGTTGTTGTTGTGTTGGTGGTGGTGGTGAGGATGATGGTGTTGTTTTGGTTTGTGAGTTTGTTGCTGTTGCTGTTGTGGTTGTGGTTGTTGTTGTTGTTGTAGGTTGGATGATGATGACATGGTAGTAAGTTGAGGTTGATTGCCAAGTGGTGGTGGTAGTAGTAGTAGTAGTTTGGTTGGTTTATGGTCAAAGTGGTCAAGAGAAGCAAACCAAGGAAAGTGTGAGCAATCCAGCCCCCCCCCCGTGGTGATCGAAAATTAAAGAATACCACGGTAACCCCGCTAGAAACAATATCGATCGATCGACAATCAAGTTCTCAGGCTGGAAATGGGCCGGGGCGGCCCGCAAATCGAACCGTAACCCGTCGGCTCATCCAGCCCGTGAGTGATCCGCTTGATTTCCAGATTGGGGTTGGGCGCAATTTTTGAGTTCGGGCCGGCCCAAAAACCCAAGTACCGACCCGTTCAAGTCAGGTCCATGGTTGGAATTCAGGAGCCAGCCCCAGAATGCCAACCACGGACAAGTGCATCGATCCTCCACAGTCAACCAATAATTGAATACTGCATATCCCTTCTGCCCACAAAACATGTCTGAGAGGTGTCTCAAAACTGTTGCTCACATCTAACTCCAAGAAGCTGGTGATCTCTTTGCCCAACGACTATATACCATGTTACTGGAGCTGGAAACAATCAAGTAGTACTGAGTCAGATGGCAAAGTTGAGATCACAGGAGAAGCCCGCCAAGAACACAGCCAAGCATTTGCCCAAAACATGACCCATAAACCCAATCCACCCCCAACCCAGATTCAATCCCACCTACTGCTCTAGGTGGCTTGGGTTTGGGCAAGGATATATATGGTCTGACCCAACCTGCCCTAATGCTGTATTCTTGCTGGGTTGGGTTTGGGTACTGTTTTTTTTTGACCAAAACCTGACCTGGTTTTGGTCTCATGCTGATAATCAACTGTTCACACATCCACCAGGCCTCAGAATGAAACCGGGTTAGGTTTGGGTCAAAAAACAGTGCCTAAAACCAACCCGGAAAAAGTGATGGGTTGGATTGGGTCATACAGTCAATATTGCTGCCCAAACCTGATCCTAACTTAACACAAGTTCCTCACTTCAGAGGCCCCTGGTACAGGCCTGGCACAAAGCGCAACCTCCAAAGGAGGGACTTGGTGGTAATGTATGCTTTGTTTTTGGCTGAGAGCTTTCAGTCTTTCAGTGGGAGAAAAATTCCACTCCTATATCTGGTGTCATATCCCTTAAAACTTTTCACACCTGCAGTATGAACTTCAAGGCCAGAATTTTGTATTTTTTTGGTGCCCATCAAATCTTTTTTCCTCCTTCACAAAATCTTCCCTTAGCCGTTTGAAGTTTTCCATTTCTTTGTGTCTGGGTAGAGGGATGTGTGTACACTCCTGAAGATCCCATTTAAATACAGAAACTTATCCTATACATGGTATTGGTCTATATAGTCAACATACAAGGGGGATGTATTCATGGAAGAATAGCAGATAACACTGAATGGAGAAAGACATGACAAGGGAAACATAGCTGAAACATGGGCCTAGCTATACTGGGCCACAGTAATCATAACTACAGCGAGCTAAGGGGCTTGGACTAGGCCAAGCCAACCTGCCACAAAGTAGCAGTTGGGTTTCCAACATAAGCTCAACAGCTACACCTGCCCTTATCACAATTCCTGCTGCTCCTGGGGGGCAGGTCCCTGTACCCTCTGTTTGAGTAGCTTTGCCAAGGGGCTCCGCTCTCCATATTTGTACAATGCTGACATCATTCTAGAAGCAGTAGAAAATTTTGGTACAATCCAAGAGCTTTACCAGCTCATCAATGAGACCCCAGTCATGGAATCTCTGTCTTTACTATCAGAGACTGTCAAGCTACTCCAGAATTTTGAATGAAGCAATTTTAACCCATTAGCTTGTGGTATAAAGTTTTGAATTTAGGAATTAGCAGTCTGCCAATCACATATTGGAGGACTTCCCGTTGAATTTACAGCCCCCTGTAAAGCTATTTTTACAAGCTTGTGGAACCGTTTTCCCATCAAAAAATTAGCTTTACAGCCTGTAAATCTAGCTTTACAAGGCCTGTAAAACCCACAGGAAGTCCTCCATTTGTGCCTGCAATTCAGAAGATCAACTCATTCAAAAACACACAATGAAATATATGCTCATGATTTACTGGAATAAACATCAACCAGAATGAGAAGGTTAGAAACACATAAGTGAGATTATAAAAGATTGAGGTATCATCCAGAGATAACTTGTGAGATCACTGTTGATGGAACTGTTCCAGAATCCAGATAGCCACAATGTATCTCATTGTACTGTAGGATAAACAAAATTCTGATGTACAAGGTGCCAGGGAGGAGCCTTCACTTCAGAATAAAGAAACCTCTGGTGGTGACTGAATCTGTTGATTCTTCTCTTTTCAAATCAACAATTGGACAAAAAAAAATGCTCCATCATGCTTGCATATTTCCTATCTTGCAGGACTCATGAGCACCGAGTCTCAGCAATCAATCTATATCCAGTCCTACAGTTACAGCTGTTTATAATCAACTTCAAAACCCCTGTGTATGACCCCATCATTAGGCATCTCTGACCCTTACAAAAGCAAGACATGTTTTATCCAAAAGAGCAAACTATGTAGCTGCAGCGGTACAGTACATTTACAAAATAACACTAAATGACTGAGTCAGAGCCTTCAGAGATTCTGAATGAGAAGAAGTAAATATTCCAAAATATGTTGGGTTCTGTTTGTCAGGCTCAAAGAGCAGTCAATCAGGTGTGTGACTGAGAGCTCTTACAGGGTGTCTTTCCCCACTATGTTGAAGCGTCCAGCACCCTCTGAGACTTCAAAATTTCACGTCTTAAACCGTTCGATTTCAAGTATGCAGTCTCAATATGAGTGCAAGCCTCATGTTCAGCTCTGGGCTGCGCTTTCTGCAGCCCACCTCGAGTTTGGGGCCTTGTTTTATCGAAGACAATTTGGATCTACAACTAACTATGTGGAGGAGAGTCTGATTTTTGCAAGTCCCATCTACATAGACTTCTGCTCGGTTCACAAAGTTACACAGCTGCTGGAAAGTTAGCTTGACAGCTTCTAGCCTACTTGGTTTGGTTCTTTGCATCCTTTTTCAAGATGTTTTCCTTGCTCGTTATATTCCTTATAGTTAAGCAGAAGATTTACTTTATGATTGGATCCAACACCCCCATATGCGTGTGACTGGGACCTGACAGAATTTGTTTGTTTGTTCTTCACGACAGCTTTTTGAACCAAGCCTAGGCGTCAAAGTGAATGGCTTAACAGGTGACAGCTTTGAACCCAAAGTGATAGCCAGCAGCACCGATAGCTCATGGCAGTCCTTCAACCCGAGTGCGGATGAGATGCCCCTTATGACGACCAGCGTGCGCTCGCATTCTGAAGGCTTCGGCGATCCATTATCAGTTCTTCAGCCTGTCTCCCCCGGAAAGGTGAGTAGTATTCTTTTGAGAAAGCAAACTGACCCAACAAAAGGTTTTGGTGACTCATGAGAAGCTTTGAGCACTATTGCTGGTTGATCTAGGAGGAACGTCACCCCAATCCGAGCAACGAGGATTTGTCTCCCAAGCATCCAGACAGAGTCCAGCCAGATCCTGCGAAATGGGCGCAGACTGCCGGCTTGCCAGCGGTCGAGGATGACTCAAGCATTCATGTGAGCTCTCTTCTTCTTAAATGTATAAAAGGGCCAACCCCAGTGGTCGAATTCTGAGATTGAACCAAACAATCCTAGGACAAAGATGTGGTGCTTGACAAGCATGTTGTGTTCGAAGTTCCGGCCCATTCCCCAGCAAAGCGCACCGTTGATCTGCATGCAGCCAAGGTAAATGAGCCAAGCAGTTCACCATCCACAACCGTGCAAGAAACTCCGCGATCTCTTCGGGAATCAGAACACCCGCCAGAAAGATCTTCAAGAGAATCAAGACAGATAGTAGACTTAGAGGCGCAAAGACAGATGAGATATGATGATGAGATAGGTTGCTTTTGTGAATGTCTGATTCGCTCCTGTTCATGTATCTATTATTCTGCGATCTTTTCGCTGTTGTTTATATGTCTTGGCTTCATTGGTGTGCTTTTCAGGTATGGTTAATCACCGGTCTACATGTAGCATTCTTCAAGCATCTTGACTTCCTTCTGTTTTCTATTCTCATCCAAAATCACCAACCCAAAGTCCACATGTTCCAACACATCACACGGCTTGTTTCTGTCTGCTGAAGAACACCTATCGCCTGCCACAGAGTACAACTTGAGCATCAGATTTGTTGTTTTGTCCTCCCTACACTGGAATCTAACTGAACCAAGTCCCTTGATCGGAGGGCCTAGTGTAGCCCTAACTTAACCCAAGTCCCTCGATCGGAGGGCCTGTACCAGGCGATCGGAGGGCCTGTACCAGGCGGGCGCAAGCGCCCCTCGCGAAGCGAGCCTCCGAAGGAGGTAGAGTGTAGCCAGGCTGGCGCGAAGTGCCCCTGAGTTGCGAACCGAACATCAGAAGGAGGGTCCAGCGTTGGAATTCAGTGAATTTCATGTGCTTGGATGCACTTGTTTTCTGTGTCACATTGCAAACAAACAATCAAATTGCTTGCAAAATCTAACTACATTTGACTAGGTTGCTGTGTCAGTTGAATACTACAGCACATGAAGAGTCGAGGGAGGAGAGGAACGATTCATATGCATTTCATGATATATGTACAACAATACACTGAATGGGTACACTACATGAGTTCGATAAGCTAAAGCGAATGGAGAATAGTACAGCAGCTGGTCTACCGACGAATGGTGACCTCTTTGATTGAGTTGACAACTATTGTAATAAATAGTGAGAAGGAGTTCATAGGATCATCATTCCACTCTCGGTTTCCCCATGAGCAGTTGGGTGAGCCGGTGGGGGCTCGGTGGGGAGAGTATTAGACGAGCCGGCTTCGGTCCGGTTGAGGAGGTCAGACAGATCGGGTTTGTAAAAGTCTGCCCGAGCAGATAACAGCGAGTCGCCCCAAATCATCATCCGTAGGAGGTTCGGTAGCTTAGGGTCTTTCCCATGAGACTGTGAGGTAAGGATAGCCGAGTTCAACTGGCCGGCAGTTCGCTGACGCTGGGCCGGCAAGAGGAGCTCTTGGATGTGTGGGGGCGGTGCATTAGGGTTGTTGTTCGGAATAGACCCATTCCCGCTGAGACTGGTGTCGAACGCTAGGAGAGCCATAGTGCGCTCCAACTCGCTGAGAAAGACCGGGTTTTCCTCCCCTCGTGGGGCCAGCTCTTGTTGGGCAAACGCGAGAGCTTCAGCGATCTGCCCATGCCGAATGTACTCAATCATCCTCTGTTGCTGAAGGTGAAAGAACAGATCGGGGTTTTGGTCTAGGATCTGTACAAAAGTGGCAATATATGATTGAGCTTCTATTTCACCAGTCAGGAACAGTGGAGAAGGGAGGAGGGACGAGAAGCTCATAGTGGAAAATGGTTGTTTTCTTGTCTTTCCTCACTGACGAACCAGCCGATGGCATTGACGTTTCGGAGTGGTGCATGAATTTTTAAATCATTGCTTATGGGAAAGGGAAAAGGGAATGGCAAAATAGATACAATGCAGAGAGACAACTGACCTCTGGATTAAGATCGTTGACTTTGCTGATCGCTTCGTCCACATCACCACGTTGGATAGCATTCTTAATTCCCATGCGGTACTCGATTGAGTCCAAGTCTACAGTCGGCGTCAAGCCCGACTCTCTGGCAAAGTTTTGAGCCGAGTCTTTGAATCCTTCGATCACCAGATAGTCCATGACGAGGCGGTTCAGATCACTATCGAGACGAGAAAGGAGAACGGTTTGGGTCAGCCTCTTGGGTCCATATCAAGAGTTTATTCAAGATCAGGGAATCATAAGGAGTTCAGAGGTAAAAGTATTGTTGTATCGTCACAGTCGATCGACTTGGAGAGATTCCCACTTTTATATTAAATTTTCATCATTGAAGTAGTGAAAGGAGACAAAAAGCGAGGGATGTAGAAGGAGGTCACTGACTCTCGATCGATTTGCATCTCAGCTATTCGACTCTGCCAGTCCTCTCTAGTGCGAGCAAGGGGGATGGACATTGATCAACGTTTTGCGCTTGTGCACTAGCAGATGAGTGCAGTGATCGGACTGACTTGGAGACGACTATCCGCTCCTTGGATGTGCTCTAAAAATGACAAGAGAAGCAGATGTGATCAGAGGTGTGTTATGGTGAAGAATCAGAGGGAAAGGGGTGCCGTAACGATTAACTCTGAGTCTAAGACCGGGTGTGGAGCAGGACTGCTGACACTAGGAGAGAAGG